AGAGAGCACAAAACTGCCATACAGCATCTCAAAGGTAGTGCATTTAAAAGACCTTATTAAGATTCTTTTATAAGATTTTTTTTTTTTATGAGCTGGAACTGCATGTGTGCTGACGGGTTAAGTGCTATCTGTTGTAGATGAGCATGAAAGCGTCTTACAGAGGGCAAAGGAGGAACATCTGCAACAGTTAGAGGAAGTGAAGAGAGCAACAGAATCATCAGGGTTTGTGTTTTTTTTATTTTTGCCTTTAATTTAATGGTACAGTGAAAATTGCTATTGCCTTGCTGCACTTCAGTTATGTCAAAAACAAGTTGTTTCATAAATCTAATGCCTTTCAGAGCTACGTATTCAATTAGACCTCTCAACAAGTTTCTTCGGTTTGATCTTTTAATTTACAAGTTTAATTTCTTGAGACAAGTCGCTCCAAGATGCTCCAAGTTTATTTTAAACTTGGAGCATCTAAATTATCTTGGCATCATAATCTGTCAAGACAATTTAGATTTTAAAAAACCATAAAGAAAATAAGAGATTTCAAAGCTACTTCAAGGGACTGTTAAATGCTTCTTACTGTGGGACCGCTTTACCTGATTTATATTAAGAAAACTAAAAAAACAAAAGAAACAAGGACTCTTCTGTATGTTAACACTCTGATAATTTCTGAACTGCATAATTAGACATGGCTTCATTAATCCCCCACTGGGGAAATTCACTTGCTACACTGTGTCAAAATGTTTACTGAATACAGTAAAATACACAGAGATTAAAGACAAAATATGTATTTAACCAGGATTGTTGACTGTTTTGCTTGCAGAAGTTCTGGTCAGCAGCAAAAGCTTCAGCAAGGCCTGGAGGAGATGAAGCAGCAGTACCTGATGACTGTGGAAAAGATCAGAGGTTGGCGTTAGTGCCGGGGGATTAAATATGCATATCTTGTCGTTTGTTGTTGTTTTTGTTTTTGTTTTTATTTTAAATCATGTGTCCCAAAAGGTTGATTCTGTTCATTTGGATGTTGCATTTTTAAGTAAAACAGTGTTTTTTGGGGTTTTTTCCTTTCAGGAGACATGCTGCGTTACCTCCAGGAAAGTCGAGAGCGTGCAGCTGAGATGATCCGCAGGGAAGTGCAGAGGGAGAGGCAGGACACTGCTAGAAAGATGAGGCGGTATTATCTGACCTGTCTGCAGGAGTTATTGGAAGATGGAGGAAAGACCGCAGGGCAAGAGGCCATAATTATCCTAAACTTGTTTGCTTGGTTCATCATGGCTCCTCTTGTTAATTGTATCGATTTTCCTGTCTTCTGCAGTGCTGAAAAGAAAATAATGAATGCTGCAAGCAAGCTGGCAGCCATGGCCAAAGTGCTGGAGACTCCAATCAAAAGTAAATCAGCAAAGAACCAGAGTTTCCAGAGTGAGTGCTAATGTGCTAAACCATAGGTGTCAAACTCTGGCCCGCGGGCCAAATATGGCCCGCAGCCTAATTACATTTGGCCCGCGAAGCCATACCAAATTATTATCAGAGCTGGCCTACTGGTATTATACAGCTAATATATATATTGTTTAGTATTAAGCTTTGCTTGTTCCATATTCAGTTTTTCAGCAAAACTTGTTTGAGTCCATAAGAAAAGATTCATTCTTAAATCTGGAGGAAGATTTTTTTCCAATAAATATTAATGTTAGCCCGCGACCTTGTTCCAGTTTTGAATTTTGGCCCACTGTGAATTTGAGTTTGACACCCCTGTGCTAAACTGTTTTACTGGGATTTTTTTCTCACCATGCCAGTGTGGTTTGCATCTGTGTTTTGCATTGACAGGATGTTCAATGGCTGTATCCACCACTGGCTGCCTTCCAGGTAGAAACGCAGGTTTCACTAAGAACCTGCCAACCCTCACTGAGCTTCCTGACTTCAGGACAGAAGAGAGATGCCTCAGGGAAAAGACTTGTGCTGATTCAGAACAGAATCCAACCGCAGATGTGAGAACTAAACTTTTGAGCCACCTGGACATTCTTGCATCAAGGAGGGAGGAGACCTCTGTGGATGAAGGGATGAAGCCCCAAAATGTTTATACCACCCAGCCGTCGTACAAATCCTCTCATCAAACGGTTTCTCCATCCCACATGAATTTGGTCAATGTGTCTGTGAGGTGTAAGAGCAGAGAGATGTACATGCAGGGATGTGACTCGAGGAAAGCCGAAACCCATTTGGATTCACAGCGTCAGAGAAAACCTGTCCTCATCCAGGAGGCTCCTGTCAGGGATGAGAAACAGAACGACTGGAGCATGACTAGTGGTGACTCTGACACAGACTTCCAAGTCCCCAGACTGTCCTACTCAGGGAGGAAAGTGGAACCAGTGAAACCCTTTTCTGTGTCGGCTGCATCAGCCAGCAACATAGGGGAATTCGGCAGTCACAGCCCTGATGTTTCTGACCTCACTGTTTATAATGAGATTTCTAAGAAGACTCCTGACACAGAGACATTTGTGCATGCAAAGAGGAGTGTGCACAGAGAGCCTACTCCTGGCTCTGAATGTGAGAAGCTGCAGGAAGGCTGGTCAAGGCCTCCGTTTTCTGAGTTGAGGCAGCGCCAACAGGACAGTGGCTTTGACAGTCCCTTCTACCAACAGAAATAACAAGCGAAGGGCAGACATGAGGTAAAGTTTCAGTTAGCTCATCAAATGGTGCCTTACAGTGTCAAGTGTTTACATTATATAAAATTTTGTCCTGAAAGTGCTTGAACTTTGTGTTTGTTGAGTTATTTGTTAGGCAGAGTTTGATCTGTTGGCAGCTTTTTTTCTTTGCTTGGTGAGGAAGATGTGAAGGCTGATGATTGTACTTAAGTATGAAGCTACAGCAGCTGAAAATTAACTAAACTGTTAGTTTGGCTCTAAGTCTTAACAAAATCGGTCTGCTCACATGTTTGAAGCTTACAGAAGAGGATCTGGCATTAGCCATTGGGGGGGGAAAAAAAAAAAAAAATTATATATACATACATACATACATACATACATACATACATACATTTTTATTTTTGGGTGTGTTTCTTCTAGTTTGTTTTTTTTTAATTCTGGGGGGAAAATACTCATGACCCTCTCCAATCTGGCCTTGATCCTCATCTGTATAAACTCACCAATTAACATGTGATCTTTTGATGAAATATTAGTAATAGTAATGACAAGTTGTGGGCCAGAAAAGCAGACAGGTGAAGACCTTCGCAATTTCGCAACAAATGTCGCAACCTGCCGTTTCATATTTACAAAGTACGTATGGAGGAGGTTCATAATTAACTCTGCGGAAAGTGAATATGTATGTTTAGTATTGAATTATTGCATTGTGTAAACAAACGCAGGCTGCATCTCATATAAGGATTTAAATGGCAAAGTCCAGTGAAGCAATGGACCTTTTTTTTTTCTGTTTAAAACGTTTTCAAGTCTCCTTTTGTAAGTGACACTTATTTAAATGTCCCTTTAAATATCTGTATCTACAGCAAAAATCACATCAAAATATGGGAGCCACCCAAGAGGCCTGTCTGTGCTGTAACTTTAAAACGTTTCTGTATTTCTAGCACTCCAGGAAAATTTATTTCAACATTTACAGATCTGCAAATGTTTTGTTTTTTTTTGTTTTTTTTAAATCCACATTTATTAATCTGCACCCAGAGATCGCACACAGTATTTGTTACACATTTACAAATCTGAGTATACACACACAGACTGAAGAACAAACAACCTTTGACACACATTTGAAAATAATTGTGCTACGGTATAATCTAGTACACATTGTACATTTATTTCGGTCATAGGCTGTAACTGGCACACAGGAGTTCACTGAATCAGAGATACTCAGTCAAATACTGGATCCTTACTGGGTCACATCTTCTCAGTCTGGGGTTAGGTTTTTTTAAAACCAGTCAGTTTGTGTTTTTTACTTTAAAAAAAAATGTTTATATATAATGTTTATGTTTTTAAGATCTGCAGAGCATAATTATAAATGTTTCTATATTGTGTTTGTGTATATTGCTTGAAATCTTCCTTTAATAAATCTTATTTAACTGAAAACTAGGAAGCAAATTTATTATGAAAGCTAAACCTTACAAGCAAAAAAGCAGCTGATCTATTATTCCTCTTTATTTGGTAGATATGTGAAAATGAATAAACATGAATCTATTTACATATATTAATATATTAAACGCAGACATTGTCCATGTTTAGACAATGTTTTGTTTTTTTTCCTTTTTCAGATGTATCAGCGAGTGCAGGACTTACAAATTTACAATGATTTTTGCTTTTGTCTATTTGTCTACACCGGCTCACTCCATTCATCCATTCATGTCCAAAACTAGCTGCTTGTTCCCAGGGATTACAGATAAAAACGAACTTTTAGCTGTTTCCACACACCGGTATCATGCAACTTGATACATGTACATGTTCCACTACCTATTGATAGCAGTCATATGGTAGCAGTGCCCATCTACATGCACTTAAACATGCCGATACAATCAAGAAGTTCAAACTGAGCAGAATGGGGAAGAAGGATGATTTAAATGTCTTTGAATGTGGCGTGGTTGTTGGTACCAGACAGGCTGATCTGAGTATTTCAGAAACTGCAGATCTACTGGGAATTTCCATCACAACTGTCTTTAGGTCTTGCAGAGAAAGTTCTGAAAAAGAACATATCCAGCCATCAGCAGTTCTCTGGATGAATATGTTTTATTGATACAAGAGGAGAATGACCAAACTGCTTTGAGCTAATAGGAAGGCAACACTAAGTAAAAAACAAAACAAAAACAACTTGTTACCAAGGAAGGCAGAAGAGCAGCTCTGACCGCACAAGACACTGTGCAATGCTGTCACGGTCTCCGCCATTATCCATTACCATTATCGTCTGCAGGTGCCTGAAGCTTAATAATTAACCCTCCTGTTATGTTGGTTTCCAGGAACACCAACTATGGTCCTGGGTCAATTTGTACCGCAACATAACAGGAGGGTTAACAGCTCCTGTCCTTTCTAATCATTTACACAAGGCTTACACAATCATTGAGCAAGAGGGGATGCTGCCCCTCTTGCTCATCTGTTTTGATGTAGATCACCTGGTTGTTCAGTAGTTACATGTAAGTTGTGGTCCTGCTCCTTGCACCTTTTTATACCTCCGCTCTGTCTTCAGCAGGACAGCTGTGAGACAAACATGTTGGTCTGGACGGTGTGTGCAGCCTTGATTGTATGTGGCGTTTTACTCCGCCATCCTTATCTCTTCCAGGATGTCCAGTACGTGCTTGCGAAAATAAAAAGAAGGCGCTTTGTATTAAAGTGCATGCAGACTAATTACTCAATCCTGGACCGCTTTTTAGACTTGGTGAAGACGCAGCCGCAAAAGACTTTAATTTATTTTAAAGATGAAATGTTCACGTACCGGGAAGCAGATGTCCTGAGCAACAGAGCTGCGAGAGCGTTTCTGCAGGCTGGATGCGTAAAGGAAGGAGACGCGGTGGCGCTGTTCCTGGGGAACCAGCCGATGTTCCTGTGGCTCTGGTTGGGTTTGCTGAAGATTGGATGTCCCGGAGCTTTGCTCAACTCCAACATCAGATCCAAGTCTCTGCTACACTGCCTCAACTGCAGTGGAGCCACAACTCTGGTAGCATCTGAAGGTAGTACCTGCATTTCTGTCTGCTTTTCCAAGCAATGGAGACAGTAGAGAGCTCATTTACTCAACATTCAATAACAAATAAATACATAAATAATTAGAGAACAAACTGTACTTTGGCATGCCATGGGAAAAACACCAATGTAGGCTATGCACTGTTTGCCTGCAATGGAGTAATCTATTGATGGAGTTTGATATAAGAATTTCCATTTTTACTCCACCACAATAAAGTATCAGTCTTTATTCACATATCTAAAATTGTGCTTCTACTTCACTTCCGGGTCAGTATCTTACATTAAATGCAAAGAATGGTTGTCACTTTCCAGTAACAGGGATGACTTTTCATACCGTATAAGAAGCTTCTTAAACATTTTCTCACTGCCTATTGTTGCTTTAGTTAAATTTTTAATATTTGGAAATGAGTACATGTATACTCAACAGAAGGAAAACCACTTTCTCCACCATGCAGTACACCTTTTTATGACTGCATATGGCTGTCTTCATCTTCTTCTTCACAAAGCAGACAAAAATAATGTGTTGCACTTGTGGTCCATCTTAACTTTTAGTTATTTAAACTGCCCCTTCATTTAGCACATATATTGTTAGTGACAAAACATCAAGGCAGTTCCAAGAATGGAACATGCCTCTCTAAAGATTTACTGACTTAAAACTGTCACAGTGGGAAACAAAGAATTAAAAAATAAAAATAAAAAAAGATTCCCCAGCATAAATCAATCAGTAACTAAATGGCTGAAGAGGATGCAAAAAATTAACAGTATTAATAGAACCGTAGTTTATATATTATATGTGGCTTTAGGGTTTCATTGGGAGATTGTTTGATTTAAATTAAATTGGATATCTTAAATGGGACATATCGTCCTGTGAAAAATAATTTCCAATCTATACAGTCCTTTGACTGTATAGAGTGGGCAACAAGTGTGAGCGCACCTGTAAAACCAGAAGCTCTGTTTGCTTGTCTGGAGCATTCAGATGTGTTAACACAATAATTGAATCTACCAGGAGTTAAAAGGAAAAACAAAAGTAAAATTGGCAAAAACTGTCAAACAGCTATAGCTTGGCCAAAAAGGTTAACCATCTACAACAGACTGGCTGAAAAAGGGGAAGAAAAATCACACTGTTGCAATGGCCCAGTCAAAGTCCAGACCCCAACCCAACTGAAAAGCAGTGGTGGGGCTTTGAGAGAGCTGCGCATCAATGAATGCAGGCAAAGACCGGAAGAAACCCTGTAAAGCAGAGGCAGCCAAAATTCCTTCACATCAATATGGGAGACCAGGGCTGGACTGGTAATCTAGCACACTGGGCATATTCCCGGTGGGTCAACTGAGGGGCTGCTGTCCACCAGCTGTACAAGCCATGACAAAAACCCATTCGTACATTTTTCCTTACTGTCACTGCCCAATCAAATCTCTACACACAACCCGGCCCTAACCTACCTTCATTAGGTGCTCGTGCATCTTGTTTGTGTGGAAGGGGTGGGGTGGGGGGGTGATGTACATCCATGTAGATTGTATGCTTAGCTTTTTTTTTTTTTTTTTTTTTTAAGTGGTCATGTTGCAAAGGCCTTTTACCTAGTCAAAGGAGCTTGCAAAGAAAAGCGTCTGGACTTCTATAAGTTGCTTGAAGACGTTTCACCTCTCATCCGAGAAGCTTCTTCAGTTCTAAGGTCAAATGGTGGAGAGTCCCAGATATAAACCTAGTGGGAGTAACCCCCCACAGAGGGACAAAAGGACCCCCTGATGATCCTCTAATCGCCTGAGCCAAGGTGTGAAACTGGGCGTGGGTCCCAATCAGCCAGAGTTTCGGGTGAGCTCATTGTGAAACCTGGGGGGGCTAACTCCCACTAGGTTTATATCTGGGACTCTCCACCATTTGACCTTAGAACTGAAGAAGCTTCTCGGATGAGAGGTGAAACGTCTTCAAGCAACTTATAGAAGTCCAGACGCTTTTCTTTGCAAGCTCCTTTGACTACGATGACCTGGATGACTGAGAACCTTCACAGACCTTTTACCTAATATTTCAAATACACAGGTTTTATTTGTGCTCCAGTATTTGTTTGTTTGTCTCCCTTTATCTAAAGGATTCAAGCACATCTTTCATCATCACTCATGAGCAATAAAGCTGCAGAGGAAGATTGAGCTGAGCTTTGTTAAAATACAGGAACATCTTTTGTAAGGTTTGTTGTGTTTTCTTTCTTTCTTTTCTACTCTAGAGTTGTTGGATGCAGTGAAGGAGGTGCTGCCCCATCTGCATGAACAGCAGATCACTGTTTTCATCTTAGCTGACAGGTGTGAAACTGCAGGTGTGGAAAGCTTCATTGATAAAATGAATCAGGCTTCCTCTGAGCCTATATCCAAGGAGTTAAGGTCCCATTTAACTATGCAGAGTCCAGCAGCCTACATATACACGTCAGGGACAACAGGTAAACTACTTACTGAGATTCACGATGCATCAGTGAAAGAAATGGCACATTCACCCTCTGAGCATCTGGCGTGTCTTTAACAGGTCTCCCTAAGGCAGCTGTGGTCACTTACAGCAAAGTGTGGAACTTTTCTTTACTTCTGGCTACAACAGGAGTGAACTCCAAAGATGTGATTTATGATACCCTCCCGCTTTATCACAGTACTGGCCTCCTTGTCTTCACTGGAGCTGTTGAAAGAGGTATGAACTCTTTGGATATATACTATTGTTAACTGTGTAAATCTTTAGTTTTCTTATCAACAAACCCAGTGTTTAAGCTGAGATCAAAATCTCCAGATGCAATTCCACGTTCTCCCTGCGTTGTGCCCAACAATCAATCCACAACTCATTAAGTCATTTAGAAAATAGCCACTTTTTAAAAACAGATTTCTAAGAGAACAGTTGACTTAAACATCACTAAATATTGAATTTCTTTGGGTCTGTTTAAAAAAACAAAAACAAAAAACCCCAAAAACGGACACTTGTTACTATATAAAGCAGATCTTTGTGGTACGGTGTTAAATGCCTTTGTCTGGCAATATTCTCTGTGGCATGGATTCAACAAGGTACTAGAAACATTCTTCCGAGATATTGGTTGATATTGACGTGAATGCATCACACAGTTGGTGCAGATTTGTTCCACCACATCCAAAACACACACTATTTGATTGAGATCAAAATAAACAAGCAAAACAAGTCCAAAAACCAGAAATGACAGCTCTTGGAGGTCGACCAGGTAACCAGAGTCAGAGACATGCTGGATGACAATCTGCATCACTGCAGCTGTGACCTCAATCATCGGTTTTCTTGTAACATGTTCTGGTTTCACAACACACACATGGGATGCAATGTTTCAAATTAAGGATAACTCTTAATTGATGATTTCACACACGCTTGTGCTGTTGCCTGCCGAACTCTGGTATATGGCAACAGCTCCTGGCTGTCAACTTCTCTTCTGCCGCACACCCATCTCTGTCTGTCAGCTGTTCCAAACAGACTTCCCTACCACTGCTCCCTGAACCCACTGTGTCAACCCTCCCCTGCTGCTGAGCCACACCCCACACCACAGGACTCCCACTCCCCTTTCCCTTCACTCATGAACAAGACCCCAAGATACTTCTCGACTTGGGGCAACAATTCTCTGACCCGGATTGGACCCCCCACCCATTTCTGCTGTTAGTCACTCAGCTGTGAACCGCTCCAGTGTGAGGTCGACGTTGGTGATAAAGTAAAAATTTTGACTACTTCCACTGCTACTCTTTAAAGTGTGCTGTTGTCATCTATTGTTGTGTGCAGGTATTCCTGTTGTTCTGAGGAGTAAGTTTTCTGCTTCCCAGTTCTGGGACGACTGCAGAAAATATAATGTCACCGTCATACAGTACATAGGTGAAATTATGCGTTATCTCTGCAACACTCCACAGGTTTGTGCCAACACAGCATCAACATTAATACTACTGTCTCACACAGAAAGGTTTAGAAAACTAACAAATGCATGCTCTTCTTTTCTCTTCAAACAGAAACTCAGTGATAAAAACCACAAAGTCAGACTTGCAGTAGGCAACGGGATCAGAGCAGATGTTTGGAGGGACTTTGTGAGACGATTTGGGGAAATTCAAATCAGAGAATTTTATGGAGCAACTGAGGGAAACTTTGCTCTGTTGAATTATAGCAGCAAGATGGGAGCTCTTGGGCGACACACCTTCCTGCACAAGGTAAAAGTCCATGTTTCAGCTCACATTAAGAAGTAAAACCTGTCACTCATGAAGCAGTGTTTTAGCTTTTTCTTTTCTTTCTTTCTTTTTTTTTTTTTTTTTTTTTTTTTAATTTGCAGATGTTTTTTCCATATGCTGTGATCAAATATGATGCAGACAAAGGAGAGCCTTTGAGGGATTCTTCTGGTTTCTGCATGGAGGTTGAGAAAGGTGTTTTACTTCCAGCATGGTTATAACAACAAAGATTTTTTTTTCTTCTCAAGTTCTCACCCATGCATCTTTTCAAATGCTATAAACATTTTATATGCCTAAATCCTAAATCTACCCAGTTCATTTTCTCAGCCACAGTGTACCTCACCACGCACAAAATTAACGTTTAAAAGACTCAAATGCAATGTCTTTACAGCATGTCTCATGCATCTTGCATTTAAAATATAACAACCCCAAATATGATTTCTCCTGTACTTTGATCAGGTGAACCTGGACTTCTGGTGACTAAAATAACAGCCAAAGCTCCATTCACTGGTTATGTGACAGACTTGAATCAAACTGAGAAAAAGAAGCTGCACAACGTCTTCAAGAAAGGTGATCTGTACTTCAACACTGGCGACCTGCTGCGCATCGATGAGGATAATTTCATGTACTTCCACGATCGTGTTGGCGACACATTCAGGTGAGCGCATGTTTTGAAATAATGCTTAAAAACGTGAGCTCACACAGAGCACTGAAAACAAAAAATGTCAACAGATGGAAAGGGGAGAACGTAGCTACAGCTGAGGTGGCCGACATCCTTGTGCTGACTGACTGTGTTAAAGAAGCCAATGTTTACGGAGTCAAAGTGCCAGGTACATATTATGCTCCAAAATCAAGAACAAAATGTACACCACACTTAGTTTGTTTAGTCAATCATTAATCAAATTGTTCCACAATCAAGCATTTTTTTTAAATCAAGATCAAGATTTTATTATTTTATTATTATTTTTTCTCTCCAGAAGATTGTACCTCTATTTCAATATAGCTTATTTAGAGCAGTAAACACATGGGGTAAAGGATATACAGTCAAAGAGTTTGTGCCATGGTGGAATGCACCTCGCACACTACTCGGGCAGCTGGTGCTGAATACAGGGATATACTGGTAAATATTACTTGGCAATAAATCTGTGTGTGTGTGTGTGTGTGTGTGTGTGTGTGTGTGTGTGTGTGTGTGTGTGTGTGGTCTCTGAAAGGAACAGAAAGAAAATACAATACTACATTACTAAAGTGTTCACAACAATATCTCCAGAGTACATTAACATAAACACAGGCGGGAAATAAACTAACATCTTCTATAATACCATAGGCCATATATTACCCACGACTCACGCATAGACCCACTGAGAGAGCTAACCAGGTACACAGTTCTACCCAACCACACGGCAGGAGAGTTAGCTTAGCTTAGCACCCGCTAGCGGCACAGACAGAAACATAGTCATTTCCCCCCTAACCTTGGTTACAGTCCCAAACACATCTTATTATCACATCCTCACACATCACCAACTTACGTTGCTCATTAACGCACACTTCTCACTGAATAACCAATTCTCTGCCGGTAATCTGGAGCAGAAAAGCTCAGGTGCTTTGCCCACGTTTCTCCCTGAAAATAGTCTCTCTCATACAAAGCGGTGGGGTGACCTCTACTGGCCACTCTAAAAACAGGTGAACTAACAACTGAACAGAATAAAACCATAACTACGGGGCCTTTTGTACAGCCGCCTCCAAATGTATGAAGTACATTTGCTCACAACAAAAGGCAATTTTACAAACAAAGTCACGGTGATTGTCCTTTGTCTTCGTCCGGGAGGGCAGGCAGTACCACCAGCCTCGCCACAGGTCGGGTGAAGGTCCGGTCCTTCACCTTGATGTCAGCAGACCTGATGTGCCCGTCGGGACTGGGGTGGACTTTGGAGATGCGGCCCACGAGCCAGGAAGCGCGAGGCAGCTGAGGATCTACGATCATCACCACCGAACCTTCTGTGACATCTGCGGGGGATGACCGCCATTTCTGCCGAAGCTGCAGGTTTGGAAGGTACAGCTGGACGAATCGAGACCAGAAGTGGTCAGCCAGCACCTGGGAGTGCTTCCACCTCCGGCAACTCAGGAGCTCTTCTCTGGGGTAAGCCACTTGAGGAAGTGCTCCGTCAGGCCGCCCCATCAGAAAGCAGTTGGGGGTCACTGGATCAGGATCACTGATGTCAGACGGGACATAACCTAGTGGTTTGGAGTTCAAGATGCCCTCCACATCCACAAGGACCGTGCGGAGGACCTCTTCTTGAAGGGGTTGGGATCCTACTGTAGTGTAGAGTGCCGTCTTGACAGACCTAATCTCCCGCTCCCACACTCCCCCGAAATGAGGAGCCGCTGGTGGATTGAAGTGGAAGACGATCTTATGGGGAGCCAGGAGCTTCTGCAGGTCAGAGGTCATGGCTGCAAAAGCTGCTTGGAGTTCCCTTTCTCCCCCACGGAAGTTGGTCCCTTGGTCTGAGTACAGCCCAGCTGGAGTTCCTCTCCTGGCAATGAAACGTCGAAGTGCCATTAGGAAGGCATCTGTATCGATGGAGGTTAGGACATCAAAGTGGACCGCTCTGATAGTTAGGCACTTAAAGATGATGCCCCACCTCTTCTCCACACGGCGCCCGATTTTGACCTCAAAGGGTCCAAAACAGTCCACGCCTGTCGAATAAAAGGCAGGTTTGTAAAGGCGGAGGCGCGCAACTGGCAGGTCCGCCATCTTGGGAACAGTTGGTCGGGCTCTCCATCTGCGGCACTCAAGACAGGTCCTTTGAAAACGCCTAACTGCTTCCCGGCTTCTCAGGATCCAATGAGTGCGCCGAATCTCCGCGAAGACCCTCTCTGGCCCTGGATGGCGCAGGCGACTGTCGACGTCCTGGATGAACAGGTGGATGACTGGATGTGTCGGATCCAAAACTAAAGGATGGGAGCTGGTAAAGGCGAGATCTTCAGAGTGGCGAAGACGTCCACCTACACGGATGACCTCATTCTCGTGGTCGAACTCAGGGGATAGTGCAAGGAGACGACTGCTGCGACTGATAGATTTCCCCTGCTTAAAGAGTCGATACTCCTCAGGGAAGCTCTCCTGTTGAGCTTCTCTCAGGACGTGCATCTCTGCTCGAACATAGTCATAAGCCGATGAAGTTCCACCGCCTTTGGCCGCCCCATGCACCTGCGTAATAGCAGCTTCCAGCAGCTGTGTCCAGGTGTCATATTTGCTGAAGTTCAAGGTGGCGGGGTCAAAGGTGGTAGAAAATCCACAAAAGGTCTCTTTACGGAGCTCAGATGGGCCTGAAGGCTCAGCCAGGGTGCCGCTTGGCTCTGGAGGCCACTGTTCTGGACCTAGGAGCAGGAAAGGAGGCCCTTGACTCCATCTATTGGGTCTGGTCAGCTCGGGAAGGGACTTCCCACGGGTTATATCATCTGCGGGGTTCTGGGCTGAATCCACATAGCGCCAGGTGTGCGAGTGAGTTACTTCCTGGATCTCAGCCACGCGGGTGCCGACGAAGACCTTGAAGTGGCATGACTGGGACCTCAACCAGGTGAGTACAGTTGTGGAGTCAAACTACAGTACTATTCTCTTTATGTCCAGAGTGAGCTCATTTCTAAGGAGACTGGAGAGATGAGCTCCAGAGAGGGCACAGTTCGAGTCTAGGCATGGAGAGAATGCGTTTAGGGGCAACACAGGAGCGAGCCATCGGGAAGGCCAGATGTGAACTGCCATCACCTGTCACTGTTCTCATGTAGGCCACTGCGCCATAAGCCTGCTCTGACGCATCACAGAATATGTGAATCTCTCTCTCACTAACTGACTCCGTGATCTTCTTTGGGAGATACGGGCGAGGAAGCAGGACTTGTGCAAGGAACAGCAATTCCTCTTCCCAGGTTTTTCACTGCTGGAGTAGTTCTGGCGGAAGCTGTGGGTCATCCCATCCCCTCTGTTGATCCCAAAGGCGCCTCACCAGCATCTTGGCTCGGGTGGTGTCCGGTAGGATAAGGCCAAGTGGGTCGTATTGGCTTGCGAGAACCTTATAAATATTCCGCATAGTGGGGGCGCCATAACTGATTTTGCGGTGTCTGTAACCCAAGGTGTCCGTGGGGAAGTGCCAGCTAAGGCCCAGAGTTGGCTCAGAGGTGTCTGATTTGTCTTGAGTGAGCCAAAGTTCTGCACTTGTGGATCTGAGGTCTTCAGGTAGGTGGCCAATGGGGCTGGGTTCATTACTGGCCCACTGGCGAAGGACAAATCCAGTAGAAGACAGGAGAGCTCTTAGCCTGTCCACAAGGTCCCGGGCTTCTTCGGGGGTTGGCACACTCTGGAGAAGGTTGTCAACATAGAAACACTGTCCTACAGAGTGATGCAGCAGATCATCTGCTTCAGTGTGGTCCCTTGTGTGGCGCTGCAGATCAAAGGTTGCACAACATGGTCTACAGGCTGTGCCGAAGGGGAGAACCTCCCATTCATAAACGGCCACCGGTTCCTCGGGGTGCAGATCCCGCCACACAAATCGCAGGAGGGAACGATCCTCGGGAAGAAGGCAAATCTGGTGGAACATACCTTTAATGTCACCACTAATGGCTACGGCATGCTCTTGAAAGCGAAGGAGGACACCAAGGAGCGATGCGCTCAAGGTAGGCCCAGGTAGAAGATGTTTGTTGAGGGCTTGGCCTTGGAACGAACAGTTAAACACAAGGCGATCTTTGCCGTTGTGGCTAACAACGTGGTGAGGGATGTACCATGACTCATCTGCATGAGCAACCTCAGAGAGGGACACCTTAACCACCGAACCGGCCTGGACCAACCTCTCTATCTCCGCCTGGTAAATCTTAGCTCGCTCTGGATCTTTCTGGAGCCTTCTCTCCACACTTCTCAAACTGGGAATGACAGCGTTAGGGCTAGCTTTAAGGTGTGGCATGTTCTCGCGGCGAAGGAGGGGGGTGGCATAGCGTTGGATGCCCTCGACATCTACACGAACTGTCTTCTGCTCTAGCAGGCTAACTGCATAGTTATCTTCTCTTGAACGGGTAACCATCTTGCCTTCTGGCACTGGGACAACATCTACCTGCCATAACTTCTCTACATGTTTGAGTAGCTCACTCACCTGGGAGGAATGGCGGTCGTGAAGAAGCACTGTTGTGGCAGTGAAGAGGAACCTATAAGGCTGGAGGGACCCTGTAGTGTCCACCCTAACCTGGTGCGCATAGCAGTGGGACCACCCGGTGGACCAAGACGAACAGCTTCAGTTGGAGTGATGAGCTGTGGGTGGTCACTGCCAATAAGAAGGAGAGGTTTGACCTTCTTGAAGGACTGGAGAGGCAGGCCTCAGAGGTGTCTGTACTTCTGCTGCAAGGACTCCACCGGGTAGCTGTGCTCGGCTAGGTCGATACGGGTGGCAGTGAAGGCGTTGCGGTCTTTGTACTTCAGCTTGGGTTTGCCACCAGGGGAGATCTCGAATGAGACACATGATCCATGCAGAGTTTGCACATCTTGCCTGATAGTGCGCAATGGAAGTGTCTCTGGGATGCCTTGAAGGTCAAGCTTCTGGGTAGCGGTGGGTAGCAGCATAGTCCTCTCTGACCCATCATCCAAAACTGCGTGAGTGCTCAAAGTCTTGCCATTATGGTGAAGGATGACTGGGACAACCTTTAACAGGACTTGGCCGCTCTCTGTAGGACAATCGAGGTACAGGACGCCCGTAGGATTCTCACCTTCTCGTGGGGGAGCAGACACTGGGCCATGTGTCTTTAAGGACTTAGAATTCACGTCGTGAAGGACCTGCAGATGACGACCCTGACACAA